ACTTGTTTTTGCATAACCTAATGGATGCTTTTAGGCGTTTTACATTTTGCGTGTTGAGAATGAAATTTTTTTTACATTCTTCTAATTATTTTAGATTAAACATTTTATTGTTCTATATGTAGCGGCAAGCTCCATAATGTAATTGTATACGGGTGTCCCACGGTGGATGGCGTATTAGACGTTTATGGAGAACTAAAAAGCGGATCATTTTGAAAATTTGGCAACCGGGATAAACGACCATGATCTACACTTTAAAAATATTTTTGACCATGCGGTGTTGCCGCTTCTACTCTAAACTAGTGGCAGCATCGCTAGTTTAAATAGAACACCCTATATCTGATTGCATATTTGGATTCTATGTAAAATTCTGAGCAGATTTCATGTGATATACCCTATACCTAAGTTCAACTGTTTTGGAAATATTGACAGTTGAAAATTGACTTTTTGCAACTTTGACAGGCTGTAAAACCTGAACGGTTAATTCTAGAGGAAAACCGATTTTACATTCCTATCTTAGATTTTGATAAACTATCATTTGACACCAACTTTGAACTTAACCGGAGATTAAATTTAACTGAAATTTTTAATCATGGATTTAATTCAAAGTTGGTGTCAAATGATAGTTTATAAAAATCTAAGATAGGAATGTAAAATCGGTTTTCCTCTAAAATTAACCGTTCAGGTTCTACAGCCTGTCAAAGTTGCAAAAAGTTAATTTTCAACTGTCAATATTTCCAAAACAGTTGAACTTAGGTATAGGGTATATCACATGAAATCTGCTCTGAATTTTACGTAGAATCCAAATATGCAATCACATACGGGGTGTTCCATTTAAAATAGTGATGTTGCCACTAGTTTAAAGTAGAAGCGGCAACACCGCATGGTCAAAAATATTTTTAAAGTGTAGATCATGGTCGTTTATCCCGGTTGCCAAATTTTCAAAATGATCCGCTTTTTAGTTCTCCATAAACGTCTAATACGCCATCCACCGTGGGACACCTTGTATATAAATAATCACAGTAAGGTATGAAGTTCGCTTTCTTTTCAAATCCAAACCTCCCTTCTCGACCTATGTATTAGTTTTTTAAATTTTTATCCCATCTTTATTTAATGTAATTTCAAAATCTAACTGACGTTTTTTTTAGGTCTATGATTAATGAATATCTAGAGGATGATATTAAAAATGAAATAGAAGAATCATATATTCAATTAATAGATTCAAATAAAGGGATATTTATGAAGAAAGAGGAATATTCAAGTGATGCCCATTCATCAAGACCAGATGCTGTTGGAAAATTCCAATGTTACACTTGCAATGCCTTATTTATAACTAAATCAAATTTAAAATATCATTTAGTGACACACTTTGATATATTTCCTTTTGAATGTGAAACTTGCAAAACAAAATTTAAACAAAAAAGCTATTTGAAGAAACATGAACTAACACATTCAAATATTTATAAATTTGAATGTGACACTTGCAAAGTAAAATTTGAACGAAAACATGACTAGTACATTCGGATATTTATCCTTTTGAATGTGACACTTGCAAAGCAAAATTTAAACGAAGGAGCGACTTGAAAAAACACAAACTGATACACGCGGAAATTTATTTTTTTGAATGTAACACTTGCAAAGCAAAATTTAAACGAAAAGGCGAATTCAAGAATCACCAACTGATACACTCGGATATTTTTCCTTTTAAATGTAACACTTGCAAAGCGAAATTTAAACGAATAGCCGGATTGAGGAAACACAAACTAACACATTCGGATATTTATTCTTTTGAATGTGACACTTGCAAAGCAAAATTCAAACGAAAAGGCGAATTGAAGAATCACAAACTAACACATTCGGATATTTATACTTTTGAATGTGACATTTGTAGAGCAAAATTTAAACGAAGAGGCGACCTGAGACGTCACAAACTGATACACTCGGATATTTATTCTTTTGAATGTAATACTTGCAAAGCAAAATTTAAACGAAAATTCGACTTGAAGGATCACCAACTGATACACTCGGATATTTTTCCTTTTGAATGTAACACTTGCAAAGCGAAATTTAAACGAAAAGGCGGATTGATGAAACACAAACTAATATATTCGGATATTTATTCTTTTGAATGTGACACTTGCAAAGCGAAATTTAAACGAAAAGCCGGATTGAGGAAACACAAACTAACACATTCGGATATTTATTCTTTTGAACGTGACACTTGCAAAGCAAAATTCAAACGAAAAGGCGAATTGAAGATTCACCAAGTAATACATTCGGATATTTATCTTTTTGAATGTAACACTTGCAAAGCAAAATTTAAACGAAAAGGCGAATTGAAAAGTCACAAACTGATACATTCGAATATTTATCCTTTTGAATGTGCCATTTGTTAAGCAAAATTTAGACAAAAAAGCAATATGAAGAAGCACATATTGGGGCATTCGAATAAAAAAAATTAAAATGTATTAGATAAGTATCTATTTTATACCTACGTCACACCATATTAGTTATGCCCCCCCACCCCGCCGAATTCAGGTTAATTTAAACACGTTACATAAACATTGAGACGAATGGATAGAAATTCCTTCAAAATACAATATACAGTGTGTAGTTCTAATATGTTCATAGTCTTAGCATTTATTTGTTCCATAGTTGTAGATATAGAAATCATCACGAAAGCCCTTACGGACATGGAACGTGTCAATTTAAAAATAAAAAAAAAATAAAAATACCCTAATCTAATATTACAAGCTAAATATAAATCGAATTGACTGTTTGAGTTTAAAATTTTAAATAAGTTAAGTCACAAACACATTTAAAAAAATACATTATACAATACTACACATTAAAATATAAAATATAAGAACATAAAAATACAATATAAAATAAAATAAAATAAAAATACAACATGAAAATACAATATAAAAATACAATACCGAGCATTAAAATACATATATTGGTTTAAACCTCATTTCAATTTTCGCTGTTCAAATTGTCCTCATACAATTCCTCCACCGAGTAGTAAGCCTTCTGAGGTAAGTGGTTTTTCAACCTATGTTTAGGATTATCGAATTGCAAGCTTTGCCAATTTGCAGGTAGCTTGTTGAACATTTTTATAATTGAAAATTGAACGTTTTTTTTTTTTTTTTTATGTAAGTAAAATTGCTTCTCACATTGACAAAATCAGTCCTTCCCCTTGTATCATAGCAATGCCCCCTAATGTGCTCAAGAAAAAGGTCAGGATTTTGCTTAACAAACAATGCTGCTGCAAGAATCGATCCCTGAGGTACACCTTTTTTGACCTGTGGGCCGATCCTCGAGCCAGGGAGTAGAGCTCCCCGAGAGAACAAAATTTTCGTCCTTATCATTCTCGTTTACTTTTCGATTACGTTGACAAGGACAAAACATTCGTTCTATCGGGGAGCTCTACTCCCTGGCCCGAGGATCGGCCACCTGGCTGGAAATTGATGTTACCGTTTCCCCATTGTGTCTTTCAATAATTTGCTGCTTTCTATCAAATAGATGGGATGATATCAGTTGTAAAGGAACTCCCCTCAACCCGTACATTTCTAGTTTTGCTAGCAGCACATCATGATTAACACTGTCAAAAGCTTTAGACAAATCCAAATACATCGTCACTGTCTCGTTTCTCCCATTAAGGGACTCCAAGATTTTAGTTAGTGCTTGATAAATAGCTCTGGTGGTACTTTTTTTTTCCTAATCCCATTCTGATATGTTCAGAGCAACTGCTCAATCTCAAAAAATGAAATAACGCGATCATATAGTATCCTCTCAAATATCTTGCCAAAGTTATTCAAGAGTGCAAATGGTCAAAAATTCTTTATTTCTTGAGCGCCTCCTTTCTTATAAATTGGAATTATTTGACAAGCATTAAATTAATTATATGAGACAGTGGTTTAGCAATTTCATCTGCCACTTTCTTGATTAAAATGACTGGGATCTGATCTTGCCCTACTGATTTTTTATTTTTTTATTTTGATATGACGTGCCTGATCTAATTAGCATTTGTAGGTTTAAAAAATATGTTTTTTGTGTAAAAGGGTATATTTTTTGACATGCTATCTATATTTGTATTGAGGTCAGGACATAGATTTATATTCGCATTCACGACCCTCAGAGTTTGAGCCTCGTGATCCGATAGAGCAGTTGCTACAACCTCTGCTTGATATGGGTTTATAAAATTGATGAAAATATTATCTAAGAGTGATTTGGATGTATTTGTTATTCTTGTTGGCTCAAATACAGTTTGATTCAAATTAAAACTTGTTAAGAGGTCTTTAAATTTCTTTGACCTGAAGGACTGATCCAGCAAATCAATATTGAAGTCATCTGTGAATATAGTTTTGTGACTTGAAAATTTCAACTGACAAATAGCAAAAATATCTATAAGAATTTGAAAAAAGAGATCAATATCGCCCTGAGGGCGTTTAACTCAGTTACAATCGATGAGCATTCCAGCACTCCTTCCACACTTTTTGCCGTAATTCCAGTTTCTTCTGTTGCTTCATTATTGGAATGTACAAAAATCGCAGAACCTCCATGTGTCGTTATTTTCCTTGCAAAAGCGGATGTATGCTTATACCCATTTATGTTCATGCATTGGACTTCCATCTCCGTAAACCAATATTCGGTTACCGCAACAAAGGTGGGTTGTTGATTCATTTCCTCTAATACTGCTTCAAGTTCAAAGATTTTATTTTTTAGACTTTGCATATTTTGATGAAAAATTACATGCTCTACCTTCTTCTTTTGGCTATCTGACCTTTCAGTTTGTCTTTGGGTATCTGATGGTGTTGTAGACTCAGAAAATAGTTGATGGAGATACCAACTGGCCAAAGTTTTGGATCCATTATCTTGTCTTTATTGCTTTGGGGCACACCCAGTTTAGAAAAAACTCATTTGTTCGTCCTTTTTTTGTGTGCATTTTTTCGCATTGTAGATCATTTCTCAGTTGCTGAGTATTAAGGAAATCCTTGATATTATTTCCTTCCATCGAAGTTGAAAACCCAGACAAAAATATCAGCTACTTGTAGATCATTTTGTTTTTCATTTGTCACTCTTACTGGATCAGGACGGTTATGTTGCAGCATTATATTTTTACGTTTTGTTTTGTAGCTAACAAGTTTCCAATTTTCTTCCGATTGCCTAATTGGAGTTGGAGTAATTTCAGCAGAATTTGATTTGCGTAATCCGCCATTATGTTTTGGCTTATCATTCTCGATGGGTTTGATGGCTAAATCAACTGCTTTGCTCACTTGAGCAAGAGTTATTTGATCCCGATTTTCATTTTCTTTGTTTTGGTTCCCAATCCTAGTGTTTTCATTATCATTATTGCGACGATTGACATTTTGACGTTTATTGTTTGTAGTTAAGTTGGCTTTTCTTCGGTATTCAATGGCAGGTCCTGCAGCATCATTTTTAGCATCTGCTACCATAATTGCAGTACTACTTGTGACGCATGGAACCGGGCCTTGATATTTGGTACTTTCTTGGTGTTGACGTCACTGATGACGACTTTGACATTTGTTGAAGTATGAGTTGTGGGACAAGTTCCTGCGGGGGCGGAGGCTGCGGAGATAAACCTAACCTCTTCTGGCATTTTTGGCTTAACTACTTTTTCTAGTTTTTCTTAAAGTGAATGAACTTTCTCCCTAAGAAGGTCGTTATTTTCTTGTAATTGGAAGACGATGTTGTTTAAAAGTCCACTATTTTTAAAACACAGTTTCACAATGTTGGCAATTGTCAAGCCTGTCAGATCTTTTTCATTGATGCAATTTGTACAGTTTATTTCGTTGATACCCACAATTTTCACACCGGGATTCTTTATAATAGGTACACTGACTATGATAAAAACCATCACACAGAACACATTTTACTTTTCCTTCAACTTTCTTCGAGCAGTAAAAACACTTTTTGTCAGAGCAATCTTGAACAACGTCCGCCTCAGACGCCATCTTGTAATAAATTAAAAAATAAATAAATAAAAATGTTAATAATAATAATATTAATGTATTGATAATAATAATAAAGTCTGTTTTTTTTTTCTTCAAATAATTCCCCAAGTCAAAAATTTAGTAACTATGTTGGCAACACAAGCCTTTTCTACAAGCATCAACATGTGTCATCTTGTTTCCGGGCATATGCTCTATCTCTGTAAGCCATTAAAAATAGAGGCAAATGTTTGTCCCGATCTTGCTGGTTTTTTGCGATCACTTTTATGAGTTGTTCCTTCATGGTCTTATTAAATCGTTCTATCATGACATCAGACTGTGGATGTAAAGGTGTTGTCCTTGTCTTACGAATTCCTATGATCTGATAAATTTTCCCTGATCTGAATGTAACTCTAGTGGCATACCATGACGACGGAAAACTTTGTCCACTAGCACCTGGGCAACAGTGATGGCTCCTTGATTGGGAATAGCAAAAACTTCTGAAGTAATCTATGATAACTGTTGTGGAAATTCTTTATAACAGAAATTTTAATTATTTTTTATGTTACAATGCGCTAGCTATTTTTTTTGTTTTTTTCTCTCTCTCTCTCACACACAGTTTTCGTTATGGAATTTCACCTACGAAAAGTGAAATTTATCTTGTATAGACTTCTAGCCTAGCCCTTCTTCGTGTTTGTACAAGTCGTTGCAAGTCGCTCGCACCCCAATTCTTTTCCATCTTTGTTTGTCACAGTTGAGACGCATTTATCTTTCTTTTTTCTTAGGCTTAGACAGTCGCACATTTTATTTTTCTTTATCAGTAGCAGCAGAGACAGCAAAGTGGTTCTTGCATTTAGAACGGCTACTCTTAAATTCGTTTTTGGTTTTGAACTGCTCAAAAAAGAGTATTGTCACCCCTCCGTAATTATTGGATTCTTAGTTGTTGGAAATGTTGGTGGTTGTTTATGGTGTTCATTGTGCAATAATCCCTATTGTTGATTTGTTTTGGAAGGTGCACAAAAGGTGCTTCAAAACAACCCGTTTATGTCGTGAAACCATTATCCACCACAGCCCTAAAAACTTTATATAAAGTTGTCCCGTTAAGCGAACATTTTTGGAGATTTATCACTGTGTGCTAAATAAGTTTTGGTACCTACAGCCAATGTTACAGTTACCTTTGACCTGTTGAGTGTTTTTGACGATGATGGTGTTTTTTATTAGCATTGTTGGCCATGACTGTTGCCTGAGTAAGTGTATATAGTAGAAATTTAAGTAGTTTATAGGTTGTTCATTATTTGTTGTTTTCATACGAAAACCGAAAACTTATTGAATTCAGTTCTTTATTTTTAATATATATTAGTAGTTAAATTAGTACCTAAATAAATAATTTCAGTTGAATTTGTAGAAACTTTTGTGTTTTGTGCTGTGCTCAATAAGAACCTTTGTTTTGCCATTCGGATTGAGAGACATCTTTTCTTAGATTTTTAGTAGCACAAATCCATACATTCATTTTCTTTCTTTTGTTTATTTTTTCGTTGAAATATTTATATAATAACTACCTAGATCCAACAACGAGCCAGACTTTGGTAAGTTCATTTGCTTGGCATTGTTTAAACAAAATTGAAAATGTCACCCTAGTTTGAACATAATAAAACTAATGGATTTTATTGTGATTTCGGAACAATAACCAAGATGTATTTGTTACCACGCTCTGACTCAGGGAACGGTCCGGCAACATCTATCGCTATTCTTTCAAATAGGAGATCGACGTTGTGCTGTTTCTTGGGCCCCCGAGATCTTAGTTTAGGGCCTTTACTGATAGCACAGATGTCGCATTTTCGGCACCAGCTTTCAACGTCTTCCTGATAGTGAACCCAATAAAAACGTTCCCGAGTTTTGCCCAAAGTTTTGTTAACTCCAAAATGTGTCCCTGAAGTTCAGAAATGTATTTCTTTTAATACATTTTCCACTCGGCCTTTTGATATAACTAGTTGGCTCTTAGTGGATTTCCCATCGGCACTTTGTTAAAGTCTTTTAAGGAAACCATTTTCTACGACCAGAGAGTTTCACTGGGCCCACAACGCCTTGTAAATCAAGCTCTTGTTCGACACTTCCCTCCATACTGGCCTACATTAATCATTTTCTTTAATATGTAGATTTTGCCTGATTACCTGGTCTGCCTCCTGATCTTCTCTCATTTGTTTGGTAGTCTATTTGTTATCAACGATCAGGCCCGTTCTTCTCACAGCTGGACTAGTGTTTTTCTCATACATATCGATTCTTTAACAATGCTTACAATCTTTTTTACATGGCCGTTTAGACAGAGCGTCAACATTTGTATGGAAATCGTATTGCTGCAATTTCTCAATCCATCTAGCAAGCTGTCCACAAGTTTTCATTTCTAAAAGCCATTTTGGAGCTGCGTGATCCATTCGAATTAGAAACTTCGTCCGTAGAGATACTAATGGAAATAGTCGACTGCTTTTACTATGGCATGCAACTCTCTTCTGGTGACACAATAATTTCGTTCCGGCTTTGATAAGATTTTGCTGTGGTACTCTACGACATATTTTTGTAAATTTTGGATTTGTGAAAGAACAGCTCCAATACTGGTTGGTGTTACTTGCATCTGTGTCCAAAATCAACATGCCTCTCTGATCGGGATAGGACAACACTAGGCTCGTATGTACAGGTTTTTTCTGAGATTTGGACAATAGGGAACAATCATATTTTTCAAAGTATTTTTTTTCTTATTGCTTCAAATATAAAATGTATATGTTTTTTTTTGTTTTATGTCCTCATTGAAATAAAAAAATTATTCTGAATTTCAAATTATTTTCGTTGGCGCGAAAACGATTAGCTTCAAGATGGTGGAATTTGTGACGTCAACTGTCTGTAAACACAACGTTAAGGTCTGTTCTCACAAGAGCCTTTGACACTTTGCAAACTGTCGGAAACAATCGCTTAACTTGAACCTTCGACTGCATTGAAACTTGAAACCGGTTATTTATGAGGTATTTCCGTATTTAGTGCCATATTGTGACATTTTGTGTTTCAAATAGTTCATCATGGTTGATACAGGATTTACAAAAGCGCAGTCTGACAATCTTCCCCCAATATACCCGTTTATGGTGGTTCAATATTAGTCGTGGCGTGACGTGAACTGATCGTGGACCAATCGTTCCACGATTCAAGAGTGAATCACGAAAGTGTGGACCGTGGATTTACGATCAGTGTAAACTACCCTTAACCTTAAATTACAAACAGTTGACGTCACTGGAAGCGGCCATGTCAAACGTAACTTTTCCGCGCGAAACTTTTCAATTTAAAACTAATAATTGCCATATGACTATAATATCCATAAATTTAATACAAAACTGCTCATATTCAATATTTTACACAAAAATGTACACCATAAAAACAAAATAAGCCATATTTATTTCTTATGAGAATTCCCTATTACTGAGACCCGACTAAACAATGGTTTTTATGATAATGAACTGAATCTCTTCAATTATAAGTAATAAAAATGATATTGGAGAGTAGGTTTGCTAATAGATTAGGACACTGAAATTACATTACAGTTACTAGCTGGATAAGATTTGTAGGTATTTTGTATGGTTATCTTGTTTTTTGTTGTTTTTTTTATGTATTGTTATTATTTCAATAATTTAGTATAGGTACTCACTTAAGCCGTTGCCTAAATAGGCAGGAAATCTTGAGACCATTGCATTCAGCACTGATTAAAGGTGTAATTTATATTGAAACTGTGAACTTATCTTGTTTAATAAAGAAATTTTCAAAAAAAAAGTGTACGAATAATAAAAATAATTTTACCATATTTTGTAGTATTAATTTTTGGATTTTTTTTATCCCACAGTGCTAAAGTTATTTGAAAAATTAACTTATGAATCTAAAAAACGTTTTTTTTTAGGTTTATGATTAATAAATATTTAGAACATGACATTAGAAACGAAATATAAGAATCAGATATTGAAATGATAGGGACTGAAGAAATATTCATAAAGGAAGAGGAGTATTCAAGTATCGGCAATTCATCAGGATCAGAAGTTATTGGGAAGTTTCAATGTTACACTTGCAATTCTATGTTTAAAACCAAATCAAATTTGAAACGTCATTCAATAACACATTCGTCCTTTTGAATGTAACATTTGCAAAGCAAAATTTTATCAAAAAATTCATTTGACCACTCACTTATTATCGCAACACATGCGATGCCAAATTTCGAACCAAGGGAGATTTAAAAAAAAACATTTGATAAAACATTTGGATATTTATCCGTTTGAATGTGTCACTTGTAAAGCAAAATTTAAACGAAAAGATGGTTTGAATAGTCACCTAATGAAACACTGGAGTGTGACACTTGCAAAGCCAAATTCAAAATAAAACAGTATTTGAAGAGGCACACACACAGAAGACAAAAATTTTAAATGCAGCGTATGCGATGTCAAATTCAAAACTAAAAGAGTTTTGAAGAAACATTTAATCACACATTTGGATATTTATCCGTTTGAATATGACATTTGCAACGCAAAATTTAAACGACAAGATAGGTTGAAGAATCGCATAAAAACTCATTCGGATGAGAAAAATTTCAAATGCAACATATGCGATGCCAAATTTAGGAGGACGGGAAATTTAAAGAGACATTTATCGACACATTCAAATATCTATCCGTTTGAATGTGACATTTGCGAAGCAAAATTTAAACTAAAACAGAATTTGAAGAGTCACATATCAACACACTCGGATGAAAAGAAGTTTAAATGCAACATATGCAACGCCAAATTTAAAAGCAGGTGTAATTTAAGACGACATTCAGTGAAGCATTCAGCTAGATAAGAGTAAATTTGAATGTGATGATAAATGGTTAATTGATAAACTAGGATTTCAATGTTTAATTTAATATTTGTAATATCAAAATACTTAGAGAAAAGTGTGAAAAAGTTACAATTACTTAGGTGTAATTTTTCTAGAAAAAAAATTACTTAATTAGTTTTTGCTCCAGGAGAATGTAATACACATTGTTGTTGTGAAAACTTGTTTCTGCATAACCTGATGGATGCTTTTAGGCGTTTTACATTTTGCGTGTTGAGAATGAAGTATTTTTTTTTTACATTCTTCTAATTATTTTAGATTAAGCATTTTATTGTTCTATATGTAGCGGCAAGCTCCATAATGTAATTGTATATATAAATAATCACAGTAAGGTATGAAGTTCGCTTTCTTTTTAAATCCAAACCTCCCTTCTGGACCTATGTATTAGTTTTTTAAATTTTTATCCCATCTTTATTTAATGTAATTTCAAAATCTAACTGACGTTTTTTTTAGGTTTATGATTAATGAATATCTAGAGGATGATATTAAAAATGAAATAGAAGAATCATATATTCAATTAATAGATCCAAATAAAGGGATATTTATGAAGAAAGAGGAATATTCAAGTGATGCCCATTCATCAAGACCAGATGCTGTTGGAAAATTCCAATGTTACACTTGCAATGCCTTCTTTATAACTAAATCGAATTTAAAATATCACTTAGTGACACACTTTGATATTTTTCCTTTTGAATGTGAAACTTGCAAAACAAAATTTAAACAAAAAAGCTATTTGAAGAAACATGAACTAACACATTCAAATATTTATACTTTTGAATGTGACACTTGTAAAGTAAAATTTGAACGAAAACTGGATTTGAAGCGTCATCAACTAATACATTCGGATATCTATCCTTTTGAATGTGACATTTGCAAAACAAAATTTAAACGAAGGAGCGACTTGAAAAAACACAAACTGATACACGTGGATATTTATTTTTTCGAATGTAACACTTGCAAAGCAAAATTTAAACGAAAAGGCGAATTTAAGAATCACCAACTGATACACTCGGATATTTTTCCTTTTGAATGTAATACTTGCAAAGCGAAATTTAAACGAATAGCCGGATTGAGGAAACACAAACTAACACATTCGGATATTTATTCTTTTGAATGTGACACTTGCAAAGCAAAATTCAAACGAAAAGGCGAATTGAAGAATCACAAACTAACACATTCGGATCTTTATACTATTGAATGTGACATTTGTAGAGCAAAATTTAAACGAAGAGGCGACCTGAGAAGTCACAAACTGATACATTCGGATATTTATTCTTTTGAATGTAATACTTGCGAAGCAAAATTTAAACGAAAATTTGACTTGAAGGATCACCAACTGATACACTCGGATATTTTTCCTTTTAAATGTAACACTTGCAAAGCGAAATTTAAACGAAAAGCCGGATTGACGAGACACAAACTAATACATTCGGATATTTATTCTTTTGAATGTGACACTTGCAAAGCAAAATTTAAACGAAAAGCCGGATTGAGGAAACACAAACTAACACATTCGGATATTTATTCTTTTGAATGTGACACTTGCAAAGCAAAATTCAAACGAAAAGGCGGATTGAAGAATCACAAACTAACACATTCGAATATTTATACTTTTGAATGTGACATTTGTAGAGCAAAATTTAAACGAAAAGGCGAATTGAGAAGTCACAAACTGATACATTCGAATATTTATCCTTTTGAATGTGCCATTTGTAAAGCAAAATTTAGACAAAAAAGCAATATGAAGAAGCACATATTGGGGCATTCGAATAAAAAAAATTAAAATGTGTTAGATAAGTATATTTTATACCTACGTCACACCATATTAGTCATGCCCTCCCACCCCGATGAATTCAGGTTAATTTAAACACGTTACATAAACATAGAGAAAACCGATTGGATAGAGATTCCTTCAAAATACAATATACAGTGTGTAGGACTAATATGTTCATAGTCTTAGCATTTATTTGTTCCATAATTGTAGATATAAAAATCATCACGAAAGCCCTTCCGGACATAGAACGTGTCAATTTAAAAATTGAAAAAAAAAAAAAAAAAAATACCCTAATCTAATATTACAAGCTAAATATGAATCGAATTGACTGTTTGCGTTTAAAATTTTAAATAAGTTAAGTTACAAACACATTCAAAAAATTAAAAAAATTATACAATACTACACATTAACATATAAAATATAAGAACATAAAAATGCAATATAAAATAAAATAAAATAAAAATACAACATGAAAATACAATATAAAAATACAATACCGAGCATTAAAATACATATATTGGTTTAAACCTCATTTCAATTTTCGCTGTTCAAAATTGTCCTCATACAATTCCTCGATCGAGTAGTAAGCCTTCTGAAGTAAGTGGTTTTTCAACTTATGTTTAGGGTTATCGAATTGCAAGCTTTGCCAATTTGCAGGTAGCTTGTTGAAAATTTTTATAATTGAAAATTGAACGTTTTTTTTTTTATGTAAGTAAAATTGCTTCTCACATTGACAAGATCAGTCCTTCCCCTTGTATCATAGCAATGCCCCCTAATGTGCTGAAGAAAAAGGTCAAGATTTTGCTTAACAAACAATGCTGCTTCCAGGATATATTGACTTGGTAATGTTAATATGTAGTGAGCCCTAAATATGTGTTCACAGCTATCTGTCTGGTACATAGCAAATACTGCTCTTATAAATCTTTTTTGTGCAATAAAAACTCGAGAGACTTCGGGACTATTACCCCAGAATACAACTTCATACCTGAATCTTGATTGAATGTATGCTTGTTAAGCATTAATGCAACCTCATAATTTACCTCACATGCCAGCACCCTTAGAGCATAGCAATGCCTTGATATTTGGCCAGCCAGGCAGTCAATATGGTCACTCTAGTCCAAACGTGAATCCACTGGCCGATCTTGTAGTGTTCAAAGCTATACCATCACCACAAACAAACTGACTAAGTGGGAGACCAATCCCGCTGTTATGAGAAACGTAGCAGCTCTGTGTCTTCTCGACATTCAAAACCAGGTGTTTTGAGTCAAACCAACCCTGAAAGGAACCCAAAGTTGTGTGAATTTTGTTACTCAATTCCTCCATTCTTTCTGCCGAAAAGACTACTGAAGTGTTATCTGCAAACTGAACTGTAGGCTGATCAGTCATATTTGCCAGCTTATACGTGTTAATACTGTCCCTGATAATCCAGTGTGACGTCACAAACATCTAGTTGTAACTTTAAACCGCCCTAACTCGAAAACGGACCATTGTAGCAAGATGCGGTTTGAATATTTATTCTTAGATTTTTTTGCACTAAAACTTTCATTTTTGGATCACACCCCCTTTAAAGTGAGGGTATACTGGTAGGACCCAAAGATGACTCTTAAGCACGGATATGAAATCGGTATTTACTTATAGAAAACCAAACATTGTTGCAGTCTAAATGTGAAGAATATTTAAAAAGTTCTAATTATATATAATATTAATATAATAATAAAGAAGTTTATTTATCAATGTAGAATAACTTTTCATAAATATAATTTAAACAATAACCTACGACTATGATAAATAAACAATTTAACCCTGAAGTGATTTTTTCACTTGTATCATCTCCATCGTTAAATTCAGAGAGGTCATACAGCTCCGTCCTTTTCAAGTCACCTAGTTACTTTATTTTATTCAAAGCAGCGTCTGGCATTAGTTCGGAAAAATTATTCGGATCCAAAAATGAAAAATCAGCACAAATAACTCTATATGCCTCGAAGGAATACCTCATTTATTTTTGTTATGATGTGATTCATGGTCACATCATGTACTATTCCACCTCAAATTTAAAAATAGCAGTAGATGGAGGAGTATCATCTCTGCTTTATCCCTTGGCATCTTCTTTATCTTTTTTTTTTTCACGAGGACTAATTGCGGGTAATAAGTC